TCGATACCTTAAAAATAAACTCCTAGAGGTAGTCGCTGGGAAACGCGTATTCATCCCGTCCTATTCTATGCTACCCCGCGGCTTCCCGAGGTGGAGTGGTAAAGGATGGAATTGGGAAGTTTCAACTGCTCCTCTTCCCGATTTTATGCATTCTCTGTGGTCCATAGCTTTCACTCCTTACAAAAACACAACCTCTCCTTCCTTTTAAAACACAAAAAGGTATGGCCCAAACCGGAAACCAATACAGAGGCTTTTGTCGTGACCCGGAAGTACAATGACGCCTCGTCCTGAACCTTGACGAGATAAGCGGTAAGACCCCTTTTGTCAATGATCCGAGATTTTAAAGTTAACTGTGGTGGCATTTTTCCGGGACCATTGACCCTGTGCGCTGATCAAACTTAATTTTAAAATACCGTCTTTGTTTATCTATTTATTTATTCGGGGGACGGGGGGGTCATTGGCAGATCGAAGTTCGGAGTTTATCGGATAAATCCGGATTGACCAAACTTCTACCGGCGGGCGTTTTTCGGAGTTTTTCGGATTTATCCGAAAACACGGAACCCTACGCATACACCACGTGACCTCGATGGAGCAGTTGTAAACACTCCGTAATCTAGGCACACCAGGGTTGCGAATGACACACCACGCAGAAGCTTTGGACAGTGCCTACGCGAGCACGCTACACGGCATCTCAGACAATCTTTCGCCACCGATGTCAAGCCTAGAAGACGATCGGATTTCGGACGTCGCCTTCGAGTGGCGGCCGTCGGATCGACGCCACCCCTTCGCTACTATACACTCCGTTCCACCCTACAATGGACCGCACAGGACGCTACAAACCGTTCCGGCCAATCCAGTTCCGCGTCAGCGTCACGTGACTTTCGGGATGGGCGCAGCATTGCACGGGGTGCGTAGTCACGTGATGCATTCAAAGCTGTGGATTGGCCGGGATGGTTTGTAGCGTTCGTTGGCGGTCCATCGTAAGGGGAAACACAGTATACCCAATGTCGAGTTTATGACTCACGCGTCCGTGCCCGAGAAATGACTCGACCAACGCAAATAATAGTTGAAAAGAAAAACGAGAAAATAGGCCATGGAACGATGAATGCCAAACGATTCATGCCCGTCTTGGCCTATACTTACACAACGTCGACGTGTTGGTGCCACCCGACCGGCGAGCTTGACATATCGCATCTTGCTTGTTTCAGAGACGGTGTCTGAGGGCCCATTCGAGACGTGTTAGTTGAGGGTGCACCGTAGTCTCCAGAAGGAGCTTCGCGTATTCAGCAGCAGTTGCCTTAGCGTCCCTGGAGTTGCCCAGCAATGGTACAGTCCTGCGGTGAAAGTTAGGTAACATTTTGGTATTTCCGAATTTGTGAAGTATATTTGATGTTGTCTCAGAAGTCCCGGAGTGTATGCTATTCCGCGATGCATTGGAAACACCGATAATCCGTCTTATACATTTTAATCATATGAAATCAGTTTATCCAATGATGAGGATGAGCGTGGAATTGTGCCAGAATCGTCGTGTGGCCTCTGTGGCAAAAATGTGTCCCTCCCTTTAAGGAGCATGATATCGATCGCTCTCTTCTCATTGGTTGAACTGGTTAAATAAAGACCAATGATTGGTGTTTTTCGCGGGTTGCGCTGCAGTATACACTAACATATTTATGACAGTGCAACGTGATTTACGAAACGACGAGTTCACGTGCAAAGGTTTAATTCTGCTGGCACACATTTTGATTTTCAACGTTAAAAACAATTATTAGCGTGTTTAAATGGTCACATAAAAAAAGCGTTTTTTTTTTTAGATAGTGCTTTTGTACATGCGAAATCCTTATTGTTGTTTTGGGGGGCTTTGTAATATTGTCAGAGAGAGTGACTGCTTTTGTGGCGGCAGAAGTTTACTCCAATACCAAAAAGCGATATCAACTTCTAGCCAATAAGAACACCGAAGAGCGAATCACGAGGAAAGAAGCGTGAACGTAATACGTTTCTTAACATGTTTCTGTGTTTCTTAAGCTCTCAATTTCTATTAGCGCCGAGATGTTTCGGTGGCGCCCTCTTGTGGTTTCCATCCGTGACGTCAAGACAGGGATTCGCCTCGCCGTGACGTCACGAGTTGTTACACTGGCAACTTACCATCAGTTGCGACGACAAGTTCGACGGTGTCTCTAAAAACACAGTGGACGCTAGGAGATAGCCATCGCATTTTGAAACTGACATCGTCAAAGTTGATAGTTTGACAATGTTCTTATGCCCATGGTTTGGCCAATCGTGGAGAGCTGACCGCAGCGGCGCTTTTGGTCACACATCTCGCTAATAGCTGCTAAATCTCAGGGGGCGGGAAAACGCATTTTATTTGCCTTTTACACCGACAACTAAACATTATGTCTGGAAGAAAAAAAAAAAAATACCGTGATTTAACTTGTTTTTGAAGCAACGCAATTCTGACGCTTGGGTGAAACAAAACGGTTGTCCTATATTTGTCCACCCTTGTCGCAAAGTTGCGTTGCTAGAAGAAAAAAAGAGCGAGCTCCGGGCTTTCAGCTTCCCTGACAAGAACGCGCGCTCGTGCAGTGCAAGCACTGTTCAGGGCCACATGCTCGCGCTCGTGGCATCAGCTGCGTCTGGGCTTAAGGTGAAACGAGGTATAGCATCTTTTTCTGCTTCCGTCTCAGGGGTCTTTCAAATGGCATTTATGTCGAAAACCTTTGGAGAATCCGCGAACCTGCGCGTGCCGATTGGTAGCGAGCTGGTTCGCTACTCGTCCAAAGGCCTTCGTCATAAATGCCATTTAGATGGCCCGTGGACAGGGATCTTACAGTGTACGCGATTTAGCATTGTGCCTAATGTTCGATCCTCGCGAGGCCTCCGACGAACAGCTTGAAGCACGCTGAACGAGGAATAGACCGATCTCACCAAGCGTTCCACGCATGCGTGACGCCGCCATAACTGTAGTTCACAGGAGGGAGGCAGACGCCAGTTCACGAGAGAGCTCATGTCGCCTCGTGCTCTGCTCGCGCAGACCTCCAGCAGGGTTGTCGCGCGTGCAGAAAGACTACAGCTCCCACGATGCAATGTCGGCAGCGGTGGCGTACTCAAACTAGCTGGTGAGATTGGTCTATTAATTTTTTATACCCCACGCCCGCGCTTTCCCGCGGACTGTCCATGGAAACATATACGCGCTTCTGCATTCCCTAAAAAGATGGAAATGTGTACAGAAAATCGGCAAACAATAATCTTACTCTTGGCTACGCCCTGCGTTTTGAAACAGTTTAATTTCGCCATAACGGTTTTTGCGGAAATGTTGTCCGCGTCTCGTCAGCACTTTTTGAGTTTTGCTTTGGGGTCACATCGGGTTATAATATAGCCGACAACAAATGCTGTTCGCAAGCCTGCCAAACACACCATGTCAGAAAACTTTTTGGCGCGCGAGAATCACTAACAGGTGATAAAAATATATTTGCAAATGTACGCTACTGATCAACACTTTTTGGGTTGCCACTCACACACACATACACGCAGACACAGACACACGCACATAAACACACACACACACACGCGCACACACACACACACACGCACACACACAAAGGTGGTTTATTTTGTCACCAGAAATAATTGGGTATTTTTGTTTTAGTAAGACCAGGTTTTTACGATGTTTGACAAACACATTCGAGTCAACATCGGGACATGCTGCGATTGTACACCATTATACGGAGTGCTCGCGGCGTGTGGATTGGACGCGGTCACGGCGTTCAACTCTGTCTGTCGTCCAGCCAACGCGTTGGTGCGGTTCGCACGCGACGCCTTTGCGAGTGGAATCACTAGTTGGCGACTACCATTAATACCTAAGCAGTTTTACAGAAGTTTAATCACACTACATTTCTCGGTGTGACCATTAATCCATACCTTGAGTGGTACAGTCAAGTATCAGAAGTAATAAAAAAATTCACAAGAATGTACAGAGCGCGACACTGTTAGCGCGAACAAGCGATCGCCGGTTTTTCTAGTTTTTATCTTTGAAACCAAAGGATGTTATCAAAGTTATTATTGCTACGGCAAGAGCTCATTTAGGCCTATAATGTAGGCGATAAAAATTCGTGCTTGCTAATACTACATAGAAGTAAAATACGAAAATGCGCCAATGTGTGTTCGCGCTAACGGTGTCGCGATGTGTACCTTAAAAAAAAACTATGACACTTTTTTCCGCTTAAAAAATCACGGGTAGTTTTTTGAAACGTAATATCTGTATGAAATGTAGTTTGTGTGCTGATTTACCGAACACAATTGCATAGTATTCAAGTTTCATATCCCATAACAATCGACACAAAGTTTTATTCATTATTCCGAGTGTGCGCAATTTCCATTTAGTATACACAAAATATTTTGTTCCTTGATAAATGCGTTGCGTTTAGAGTAGCCGTTTTGGCATTACAGTTCTGAAACCAATATGCCACTCCCTCATCTAGCCTTACAGCGGTTTGTACCCCATTATTTAACCAGATACTTCTTTTATTATTATTATTAATCGGGTATACAGGTTGCTGCAGCTTTAGCAGTTCCGCTGACTTCCTTAATACAAGCTGCAGTGAACCTGCTGCTAAAGTGGCAGGTTCTTTGCCGCTTTAGCAGTTCTGCTGACTTCCTTAATGCCCATTATTGACTGTGCCTGGTATACAAACTAATCATGGTGCCTTATTATTCGCGTCAACGCTGCTCTCAAACTATGAACACTGTCACTGAAGAAATCGCCTCCTTGATCATTTGTGCAGTCCTTTCCGGTATACTCTTGACGATTAGCTGCCGCATGTCCGCTGATTTTCAAATTGTACATTTATTGAAACAGGTTGCCGACAGCTTTGGACACGCTCTGCGTTACTTATGCTTTCAGTGATTGCACACTTAAGCTGTTCTCAATCTGATCTTAAGCTGTCGGCAGCACCACCTCCTCCCTCTCGGGCGTGCCGCCGCATCGCGACTGCCTCCGCCAGCCACACCACGGCTCTCTCCCCAAAAAGAAGTTTCTCGGTGCTTCTTCTTCCACGCGGCCGGTAGAATGGGACTCCGCGGCTCAAAATAGCCGCGCGGCAGGGAGGGCCGACACACCAACTCCGTAATACCCGAGCCCAGGGTTTGGAGCCGGAGTCTCGGAGGGCAACGCCGCAAGCCGGTCTCCGAAACTCCGTTGGAGGCCGCTTTCTTTTGCCAGCTCCAAACCGGTGACCCGCGTAGGTCATCGTCGTCGCTCATTTTTTTTTTTTTTCTTTTCGTGTGTGCTGTAACAGCTCTCGATCTAGGCCCAACGTCGCCCCTGAAGAATATCGTCGAAGCAAAGTCATCGTGTCGGCGCGCGTGCACACGGCCGTCACTGACGACTTCGAGACAGGATCGGACAGTGGAGTTGCTTTTGTTTTAATTTTTTTGTTGTTAATCTTAGCCTAGTCTTCTGACTACGCTCTGCAAATGCGACTCAGCGTCCTTGAGTGAGAGAGTGAAAACTTTTTTCTTTTTTTTTTCGCTTGTGGCGCGTGAACGTCGGACGTGGTACGGATGTCATCCGGATTCGATCCGAGGTGAGAATTTTTCTATTTCCTTCCATTTTGTCTAGGTTAGAGAGTCCATACAAGCGGCACAGGAAGGGGTGTCACGTTGCGAGCCGATGCAACGAAGAAATGTTGCCAAGTGCCGTCTTCTTTCTCGGTCTTTTTATAGAGCGTGACGTTCGGACGCTAATTGGTCAAGAGCAGGAGTTGTCCGCCGCCTCGTGTGACTCGTAATTGGCGTCCCGATACATTCACTTGACGTGCGATGCGATGGGTTTTGGGCGACCGAGTTTTATCACACGACGATCACTAACTGGGTGTGTGTGAAGTGGTGAATACTATACGTTGGATGAAGGGAACGAGCCGGGACTTCACACGTGAACTGGAGCTAGGCCTATTGCGCTCGCTTGGCCACGACTCGTAACAGTGGAGACCCTTTCGGAAGTCACGTGCAGATTATTGTAAGGTCAAAACCACCGCGCAATGGCGGAGCTGAACAACCGACATCGTGGAACGTGCAAGTCATTCCGTAAGATGGAGAACGTCGGAGCGCGGACTACGCTAGAGCCGACGAGCCAATCAAACAGCATCGAAAGTGCAACGTCACTTCGCGCTCATTACCTTTATCTCTGGCTGTGTTCCTACCTTCTCCAACCCAGACGTATAAAGTGTGCCGTGACGTTGAGGATTTAAGTTCGCCATTGTGTAGGGATTCCACAGCTACCAACAGAGGTATAGTATTTCGAAAGGGGTCTATTGTCACCGCACCATGGGTCCTCGCAAGAAAGGTTTATTTTGCGCCGTTTCTTTGTTGTTGTTTTTTCATTAAATTATGTTTTTGGTTTTACATACTCCACGTGCTTAGTTTGGTGATAGACGTAAAAAAGAATGAAGCGCAAACGTACTATACTACAGGGCTCTTCAAAAAGGAAGAGTAGATCTGCAAAAGACAAACACATTCCGCACATCATTGGATAGAGGAAAATTCAAAGTGTGTCTCACCTATGCCTAGTGACCCGATGATTCGTGCGTTGCAAGAAATGAAGTACCTATTTGATGTCTATCGCGCAACATAACTGGTGTTCATGTTGAGTGCAAAAATAAATCTCAAGGGACCATAAAGCTTTAAACTTTGAACGTTCTTCTGTCTAATGAGATGCAAAATGTTTTTCTGCTTTTTTTTTTAACAGTTTGTTTGAAACAAAATTGTGAAATATTTTTTTTAATAACCCTGTAATTCTTATTTCACAAAGAGTTCAACGTTCTCCAGGCCTAGCTGTTTGCCCTTGGCGGTATAACAAAACGCAGCAACCGCCTTCGGATGTTGTCTCTGAAGAAACCCCGACTGCAAGCGCTGTACGAGTTTCACGAAACTTGCGAGTCATTGTTATTGAGACTTCACTTTCGACACTGAATTGCCGCAACGGAACGCACGGTCCGCGCCTAATTGCATCGTATTGTGCGTGCCTAAAAGTCTTCGCAGCAACTTAGGCGAGACCGCTTGTTCAAAGACCATTGTTTGCTGCCACGCGCATTGTCTGTCGAGCGCGTGCGGGTTTCGGAATAGAGTGGTCAGTTGGGAGCGGTCACATACGTATAGGGTGTTTTCACCGACGCCTTTTCGTCCCCCATGCTGCTGTTATGAGCAGCCTGGCGCGTGCACAAGGCGAGCACTTTGAAGATTCACTTCATACCCTCGAATTGGTAGTGAACAAAAGCTAATGAGTTTCATCACGCTGTCATCTAACAACAAAATGGCAGATTGACGTCATGTCAAAACACACTATTCGCGACTCTAACTAACTATAGGTGGCGCCACTCATTCTCCAAAATGGCGGTTATAGTGAGGGTCGGAGATGCGTGCCGCTGTTGAGCCTGTCTAGTGTGCTGGCTTCAATGAGAGACACAAATTATTTCTGGTAATACGAGGAAGCTGGGGTGTTATGAGCGCAGGTCACCTCTTTACCCTGAAAACAAGAACGGTGTTTGGCGTAACATTTACGCCAGGATGCCCGTTTTAATTCTGGAGTGAAACCGAAACTAACCTCTATTTTGGATTTAATTTCTTGCTATACTTCGGATTCTTTCATAACTCATGATGCGTTTCACATCGTAATTATTCAGTTAGAAAAGCTGTTCGCGGAAGCTTTATTTTGTGACATACATGTTCGATCCAGGCTGATATTTGAAGTTGTTATAGTTGTTTAAAACATCTGTGCTGATAGTTGTGCGTTCTCGCTGCCTTTTCTCGCTCAGATAATTGCCATCGGAAATAATGAACTGCGGTTTTTTTTATTAGTTCTGGGGTATTTAGATTATTAATTGGTTTAACATTATTCCCAGCACAAGAATAAGAGAATAATTCAAATTTTTACAATATGTCCGCAAAACGTATAAATTAATAAACGGTACGTTCTCACTGCAACAACCCAAAGACGGAATTCGAGTCAGACACCTGAAGTGTGTCTGTGTTTTTTATATGAACGCGGTGACGCATCGGACTTTATATTGCATCCAGTGTTTGACTGTTTGTCTATTTTGACAACAATGTCCGAGTTTTTCATATGCTAAAAAGAATACAAAATTATATCTTGCTGGAACGACTATTATGGCTTTTTTCTTGTGATCTTGGCTATAATTGGGGGCATACATTGCCGCGATTTGTATTAATAATAATAATTTTAAAATTCAGATATTTCTATGCGTAATTTTTCAAGCTCTAATATAATTTGTTGCTTATGATCTAACTTTAAACGCGCGAACAAATATGACAATCGAAAGTGTGCTAATTATCATCACTGGTGCCAATTGCAGCATTTTTAATTACAACGTAATAAAATAAAAATAGTCTAAAATCAATGAAAACATTCTAGCTAATGTGATAAATCCGTATAAAATTACATTAATTGTGGGTAAAGTATATTTTGCTATCAAAGTCGCGACTGTCGAGAATCTGCAAAACGTCCAAAGTCGCCGCCAATATCCTTCCAAGCCAAATGCCAATATATATATATATATATATATATATATATATATATATATATATATATATATATATATATATATATAAATAAATATAAAAAAAACAGTTGTGTTTTAGTTACCAATCTTTTCATAACATTTAGTTACTTTCATTTTTACGGTCCGTCGTTTTGCCTTTACAGTTTGAAGGATCGCCTACCTGCTTGTACGTCTGCTCACTGCAGCACGTTTCGTTGGCGTTGGAAGCCGGTGAAACAGTAGTGAGTTTTAGTATTGCGTACACGTGCGAAAGCAAGCGCTGTGTGCTTGCGTTAGCTTTGCGTGTTCCACACTGCGCGTGCGCGGAGCCCAAAATTTCGGTCTTGGATTGGCGCATGGCGATGAGGTGCAAGCACAACGTGGGGCACGCAACTCTACGCAAACGTACAGCGCTTTCGTTTGCTTTTCTACGCCATATTAAAACTCCCTAGTATAAGGTACAATCCCATACCAGCCGCAGAACTACGTTAGGACAGTGCAGAGTGTTGTCTGCATTTGGAAATGACATTTTGCGAGCCATGATCGCGAGCAGTTCCGCCGTGCCTGCTGGGCAGGAGAATTGGGGGACCTAGGGGGACCCTCACTAGAGCGCTTCCCGTTTCCGCCGAGGGAGGGCAAGCGTCGAGCTGGAGACGCGAATAGGACCACTGAGAAGACATTCGCTTTCATTTATTTTATTCCCTTATAATGACCTTAAAAAGAAGATATCCATTACGATTATAATTACGCCCGGTCAAAAAGTGAGTCATTAGGAAGATTACTTGTCTGTTTTAGATAGCGAGTGTATATAGACTCTAAGAAACATGATGAATACGTTTTGTCTTTACTGTAATACTTAGTATGAAATACTAATCACATGAAACGTCGTGGTGTGTGTCAGTGCAGAGTATGACGCTCCGCGCTGTGACACAGATTTTTTTGAAGGGTGTGACATTTTTTTTTCTCCATGTTATTCGCCTAGTTTTTTTCCATAGATTGCAGCGATGGGCTCTGCCATGTGCTTAGCGAGAAAGCAGACGCACCGGATTTCTTTGAGTGCATATAGGTTGAGGAACAAGGGTGACCGAGCATATATTCGCTTTTATTTATTTTACGCGCTCATTATGACCATAAATCAGTCTTCGGCAAGTTACCGAGAAAGAAGGGAATTCGTTACGATATAATTAGTCCCAGTCAAAACGCGCGCCTTCAGGAAGATTACTCGATTGCTTTAGACGTAAAACGTAACCATAACTTCTCTTATTACTTTGCATCCAAATTCCTCACCCTGGTTTATCCAATTAAGTTCAGGACAAGTCAAGGAGTTAATGTGGCAGATTTGCACGGCTTGCATGGGCTTCTCTTTTCTTCTTTGTTTAAGCTTTGCATTACATAAGTTTAGCCTTGATATATATATATATATATATATATATATTTCATTTTTTTATTTCATTTATTTGTACCTCACAAGCGTCCCAAGGGGGTATACATGAGGGGGGGAATTCAACAGTATACAAGGAAAACAGAACAGTTAAAATATGAACACACATCATGCAAAAATAACAATATAATTAAAACACGTGGAAAATATACATTTCAATTTACGCAGTATTGAGCACACGCACTTTTAAATTCGTCGACATTTACTAAAGTCACAATGTTGGCTGGAAGTCTGTTCCAGTCGGAAATTGCCAAGTGTAAAGGTGACGTCTGGAAAAGTTTAGTATGTGACGTTTGTAGTAGTACCTTATGCTGATGATCAAATCGAAGAAAAATACGGTGTGGCGGCTTTAATAGTTCAAACTTGAGGAGTCGGTTATTATAATAGATGTTATGGATGAAGGTTAGCCTAGAAAGTTTTCTTCTGATAGAGAGGAGTGGCAAGTCTGCTTTTTCTTTCAGCTGAGATACGCTTGTGTGTCGAGAATAATCTTTGTAAATAAATCTGCTTGCCCTGTTCTGAACTGACTCTATTTGTTGAATTAGGTAGTCTTGAGAAGGGGGGATTCCATATGATAGAGGCATACTCT